ATAAAAACCATTCTATTTCTCTTCTCCATCTCGTTTTCTTCCCTGCAGACAATGCCTCCAGCTTGTGATCCGCAAAAGTAGAAGCTGCAACGTTTTCTCTGATCAATATGAATCAAAATAGGCATATAAGAGTAGAGATTATCAGGACATGGGAAAAAAGTCACCTGCTAGGTTTGTTATGGCATTGGACAAAGCCAGAGCAGAAGAAACACCCTTTCCACCTCCTGACATATCCTCACCCAAAAGCAATTTAGCGAACTTTGCCTTCATCAATTCCAAATCTGAACACCAGAAACCATATATTTGTCAAGAATCATCGGGATTAAATTCCATCTGGGTAACCCAAAATGGTATGAGAAGATAGGGAAAACTTTTCCTGCCAGCCAATTAGATGAACAAGGCAGAGGAATGTTGTGATTTTACCTGAGTTAGGTTGGCTTCGGGCACCTCTTGCTCGGATTCCAGCTCCATCCAAGCACGAGACGGGACCTTGGTCATCATTCAACGCCCATCCAATTCGTTGGGGTTCCAAAGAATCTGTCGAACCATGCCCATCTTGCCCACTCTCCAAAATCAAACTATGTGTTTGTCTCCCAGGAAGCTCTACCGTCCTTTTGAGCTGGAATGATCTCGACTGCTGCACATTCGGTTGCTGGATAAGTGCTCGAACCATCGTGAATAGAATACAACCTTTGCTTACTGATTATGCTTCTGATAACAACAAGATGTCTTGATGAATTGAAGCAAACCAAGAGATGGAGAGTTATTCCTTTTTTCCTCTGAATTAGAAGGCTATTGTGTTCTGGCTCTGTGATGCTTAATCTGAAGGGAAGAGTGAAAGAGAGAAGCAGAGAGAGAATAAATTTTTGGTTTTGTTTTGTTCCTTCAAAATTTTGTGTTATTTGGTGCAATAGATCATGGGGTGCATGTCTTAGAAAGGAATAGTTTAAAGGTTGGGAGTAGAAAAGTGTATGAAATAAAGGCTGCTAATTTTGTTGAGCTTTTCTTTTTTAATTTAATGGTTGGGAGATCAAAGCTGGAAACAAACCAGGGAGAGACATTCAAGCACAACTACCACATTCCCTTTTTCTCTCTCCTTCTCTCTCTAAAGAACAAAGTATAACTGTTGACCTTCTTTATTTTCAGTGGCTGCTTTTTTCTTGTATATAGAAAAATTTCCTTTTTCCAGTAGTCCCCTTTACTATTTTTGTTATTGATTCTCAAAACAGTCAATTTTTTTTTACCTTGGTTTTCAAAACGGTCAACTTCTTCCCTTCAACAATACCATAAAGCCCACCAAACAACTAAATAAAGTAAATAGAGAGCCTGCATGGTTAAATATTTGTCTCCTGGGTAGGTTTTGGGATTAATATATGTGTATTATTGTCAATAAATGCTTTATTTTCATAGGAATATGTTTTATATGAATTAAGTACATTAACTTCAATCCCTTGACACAACACAAAATAATAAAGGTTATCTATTAATGCGATTATAAACTTACGACAATTATCACTTTTTGAGATAGGTATGGTATATCTCTTGAAGGCTATAAGGTATTATCATATTTTCATTTTTATCGACATTTTTAAGACTTAATTGCTCAATAGAATCAAATCTAGAAAGACTTTATAAAGTCCAAAACAGACTGTTCTTGGCTGACCCAGCTGGCCATGCCCATTCCCAATGAGAGAAGCCATTTATATATATATATATATATTTTACTTTCACTAAAAAAATGATTTAAAATTTCAAGTTATATAGAAGGCAAAACTGCAGCATATGTTGTTTGGAACAGTTATAGGGAGCATGAGAGATTAGGGAATATTTAAGGGATGTTTCAAAGTTGTTTTAAGAAGAAAAAAATCGGTGAATATAGGTTTGGCGAATAACTTAACAAATTATTTTCATTTATATAGTTATGGGAATAACTAAACTTATTCAATTTATTTTGAAAACTATTTTGTAGAATAAGTTGCCAAATAACTTCCAAGTTCCAAGTGTCAAGAGTGAGAATGAATAATAGTATGAAAATATAATGCCTGAAATTTGAACGGCTTGAAATGATAATCGATTTAAGTTGCTTTTAATTAATTGGTTTGTAAGCATGAGATTTGAAATATGTATTTAAAGTTTTTACATTGTTTACAAATAAACAATCATACTAAGTTTAATATGCTAAATGTCTTTTTTTTTTTTTATGAAGTGTATAATCATGCTAGATGTTGAACATGGAAATAAAGTTTTTTTTTTCCTTTCTCCATTTATTACCGTCAACCAAAATCAAACGTGTACTTCCACTCATTTGCACGTCTGTGTTATGTGTAAAAGCAAGACCAAAGAGAACAAGCGTTTATCTCTCATTTGACTAATTTTATAATTCTAAAAAATTAAAGGTAAATTGTAAATATGCTTGTTAAAAAAAATTGTAAATATGCTTATTTAAAAAATAAAAATTAATTTCTTAAAATTACGAAAATAATAAAAACCACTAAAGAATTCTTCATAATTTGTTTAACTGTACTTGATATAATGATTTCAATAATTACTAAATAGAATGAACAATCATTCATGATTCAAATATAGTAATAATATGTAAAGCAAATTAACCACTTATGTTAGATTTAGTGAAATAAATGTTTTTTCTAAAGTATTATTACACGACTTAATTTTTTGGTTTAAAAAAATAAATTTTGGTTTGAATACATTCCCAAACAAGAATATCTTATAAAAAAATCCAGAAGTGCCCTTCCACCTCCATTAATTTGAACTTTCTCAAGATTAAGAAGCCCAAATTCGTACATTCACCTCCATTAATTGGGCCGTATTCTTTGGTCCATCTTTTAAGAAACGGCTTGCCCATTATGAAGCCCAATTTTGTGTATTCCAATACGAGGTAAAAGATGGATCCTAAAAATATCGCCCAAATATGTACATTCAAGCCCGAGGAAATAGATGAAAGAAAAGAATAGTGGCCCAAACTTGGATTATCTTAAAAGAAAAGGCCAGCCCAATTATGAAGCTCAAATTCATACATTCAAGCGCAATGAATGAAGCCCGACTATAAGAAAAGGTTGGCCCAAGTATGGAGCCCAATTTTGAAGGGTCCATCTTATAGGAAAATGTCGGCCCAAGTATGAAGTCCAAATGTGTCCCAAGCTGTTGATGACCAAACCAAATATGAAGCCCAGGCCCAAAGTGAAAGATGAACCGAAAGAATAGGGCCCAAGTTGGGATTATTGTACAGGAAAAGGCATGCCTAAGTATGATACATTCAAGCCCGAAGTGAAAGCTGGACCAAAAAGACGGGGATCAATCTATGGATGATGGGAAAGGTTCGGCCCAATAACGAACCCCAAATTTGTACATTAAATCATGAGGTGGAAGTTGGACGGACAAAATATGGCCCAAGCTGGGATTATCTTATAGGAAAAGGCTGACCCAATTATTAAGCCCAGAATTATACATATTATGGCCCAAATGTGTTCATTCAAACCTGAGGTAAATCCCAGGTTGGGATATTATCTTATAGGAAAAGGCCGGCCCAAGTATGGAGTCAATTTTTTGCATTCAAACTCGAGGTAAAAAGATGGACCGAGAATAGGAGAAGGCCGGCCCAAGGAGGAAGCCCAATTTTWTACTCAAGCCTGAAGTGAAAGATGGACCAAAAACCTGTGGCCGAAGTAAAAATGCAGCCCCATGTTGGGGGGCCCATGGTGATAATTTATCTTGGTACAGTTTCCTTTTTATTTAGAGAAGAGACACGATAATTATTTATTCCAAATTATAATTTTTGTTGAGGAAAAAAACGAAGATTCAAACCACTTTTCTTTTATTGTTTCCATATTTATTAAAATTCACTTATTATTTGGGAATAATAGAGATGAAACATGTGATCAAATTATTTTTAAAATTAAAATTAAAAAACATTACTTGGGATTTAATATATCGAATTTAGATGAGGGTTAAAAAATAATTGGTGCCAAATAAATATTGTAAAAATACGAAATGATAGTATTATTTAAACACAAGATCTCAGATATATAAATATAGCCAATTTGAAATTTTGAAATAATGTAAAATAAATATAATTTATTTTTAGTACAACAAAATATATATTTTAATAACTATATTCAAGTTGAAAAAAAGAAAGAAAAACCATTATATTTGTAATGATTCCGTATTATCATTATTTTTTTTATTGATGCTATAAATATGGAGTTTGGCTTAATGATAATTAGAATGGAAATCTCAAGTTTTAAGACTAACTTTAAATTTAAATTGAATGTCGTCTAAAGGCCAAGAGAAAAAGCGGTGAAAATTTAAATTCATTTATGAGAGGCAACAAAAGCAATATAAAAAACACCACTKCGCTATGCCATGCCATACCTTGCAAGAATCATGTGAATGCATTTAAACATGGAGCTCGTTCAATTAATTACAGACAATAAATTAATGGTTAAAAATTATTTTTCAATTCTTTTTTTCATTTTCATTTGAAGTAACAATTTAATCTCTATACTTAAATGATAACAATTTAGTTTAGGTACTTTTAGATTTGTAACAATTTAGTCTCAAATTTATAATCAGTCTCTAAATTTAGCATGTACCAATTTAGTCCCTATAGTTTACCATATAGGTGATCTCAACAAAAAAATAAACTTTTAAGTGTTGATTTTTATTATATAGTAATTTAATATTTATAATTTAAAAACATTTGATTCCCACATTTATTTACCCTTTTAGATTTTAAATTACAAAAACTAAACTGTTACCAATTTAAAAATAAAATGATTAAGTCGTTACAAACTAAAACTCAATSACTAAATTGTTCATGAAAGTATATGGACCAAAAATGTTTTTAAATCTAAATTAATTTTAAAAAGTAATTATTGTGTTTAATATCACTTATCAACTGAAATCAAATCCATAAAATCAACCGTTTATTTGGAGTTTAGATTTAAAAATAGACCCTTTAAGATCAGAGATGGAATGATTCCCTTTATTTAATATGCACATGAATCATTAATTGTGAAAGGAATTGAATTCTTGATTTACAATTTTTCTCTKCTGGTAAGAGAAGAGAAACCCATGAAATTATTGGTTTTCTATTTTGAGTTTCTAAAATAGTTGTTGGCTAAAAATGGCCCAAACATTCTCAAACAGATTTATAAGAAATGGTGATGTAATGAATAAATCCAACCAACATGACTTGAAGCCAGTTTCCCTTCTGTGAAGCTTCAGCTTTTTCTTGCTTTTACTGATCATAACAGGTTTTGCTTCAACAGTACTCTTGAAAATGGCTACCACCCAACAAATCAAGAGCTGCCATTAATGGCAGTTTCATTTTTCCCTAAGAATCTTTTTGGTTCCATAGAATCCTCAGGAAACTAATTGAAACAAACCTCACTCTTTCTCTGTTCACAAGTCTAAGCCAGCAACTGCTCTGCTCTGCTCCGGGCACTTCGTTTCGTGTCCTCTCACTTCCTTTGCAGGTAACATCTCTCTCAAACTTCTTTTAGACGATTCGACTACTCTGTTTCCTCTTGATTTCGGTCTTGGACGAGTGATGGAGATGAGAAAATGACCATTAATTTTCCTGGATTTTTCCTTTGTACAGAGCCAAACAGGTCCAAGCTTTCTCTTGAGAGCCTGAAATTATTGTATGACATCCAAAACCATGCAAGAGTTATGTAGGAATTATTGGAAACTTGGAAATGGTTTGTGGAACATCACTAGCATTAGCATTTGATTATGCTCTGCCAATGTATATAAGATCTCAATCAATAAGATATGCATCAGGACAGTCTAAGATCGAGAATTTACAAATCATTTCTTACTTGTAACGATCCGAAAGGCATAGTTGATAAGAGCACAGTCAGGAAAAAGAACGTTCATCCATCGGAAATGGAGAAACGGATCAAAGGCCGAACAGCTAGGAAGAATTTTTACGAATTTTCGGACTGTAAGTTACGGAGAGAGGGAACAGCCATCAAAGAGGTCGTAGGTGAGTTTGATACTTCATCGTCTTCTCAACTCATGGAAGTGTCCAGAGGAGCTCAGAAGCTGAATCGGACAATCGATTTGTGGTCGAACGGGATGAAATATGATAGACAGTCTGAACAAATTGCAAGAGATTTGTTTGAAGGAGCTCTTGATTTGCAGCAGTCCTTGGTCATTCTAGGAAAATTGCAGGAAGCTTCAAGGTATATGAATCAGGTGAAGAAAAATGAACGAATAGAGAGAAGAGCAACTGGAAATATGGGCATGGAGAGAWCATCATTTGACCGAAATGAATTTCAAAAACCTCGGCTTTCAGCTGATTATTCTTATGGAGATGGTGCTGAGGAACTCAAGACGATGATCCGAGATCGACTTGCAAGACAACTCCACTTTCCCAATACAACAGACATTGCTGAAAGAATCAGTTTTCCTGAAAGCAGTACAAACTCGGCTTCAGATTTTGTATCCACGAGCTCTAGCCAATCTTCAATTATTTATAACGCAGCTGAAAACACACCAAAGAAGGGAAATGGCAAAAATCTGATCGCAAAGCTAATGGGTCTAGAATTTCAATCAAAGCAAATGCATGAAACTCTACTGGGTGAGAAGATTTCAGATCACTGGAGGCCTGAGTTCAGCATGGAGACGGCTGAGACAAAGAAGCCGAAGTCTGTTACACACAAGATAGCAAACAGAACCTCAGAGTCAAATCTCGATACCCAGCAATTCAAAGGCGTTCTTAAACATTCTGCAAAGGAAGTGAACGGCTATTTCAACTATTCCAGCTACACCCGTTCAAGAGAAGAGTCAACTCACACTGCCCCACCAATTGTACTTCTAAAACCACGGCGTGTTTCACAGGTTGAGCTGGAGGAATGCCAAGCACGGGTATTTGAGGAAGATGAAGCTTTGAACAAGAAGAAGTTCACGAAACTGAAAATGAAAGAAAGGCATCATCAGCAAAAGAATGACAATAAAGTAGACACTTTGAGCTCCAAAAAAGTGCTTGGATCAATAGGGGCAGAACAGACYGCAATCTCAATGATCAATCACAGAAAAGAAGCTCAGAACCCAAAAGAATATCATTGGAAACCAAAAGAATGTATTAGTGTTATTAAGTCCAAAAAAAGGAAAGAAGCAATTGATAAGAAAGTTCTTGAACCACAGAAAGAGATTGTAGCCAGGAAAAATCAACTTTCGCAAGCTAAGATTGTGCCAAAATTTCCAGATCAAGGACAGGGATCCCCTAGCAAGTTTCAATTCGTACCAAATGCCATGGAGGAACATATCCCTCAGGACTCTACTCCTACATCAGACACTACCTCTGGCTGCAGCCGATTCAGCACGAATCAAGCAATTACAGAAAAGGTCATCAATGAGGTTGCAGTAGAGACATCAGAGGTAAGTCCGTGCAATTACATCATGAACACTTCCTAACTTTCTTATCTTCCCATGCTGTCATATGCCATTTTCTTATTCCTGTTCTTATTATCTGGGAAGAAGATACTGAGGCATGCATGCTGAAATTTATTAGTTACTAGCTCGGAAAATTTGATCAGAGACGAGGAAGAGAACTGTGGCATGTGAAAATAGCCAAAAATTAATGAGGATTTCTTTCTGCAGGCCACTACCCATGGGGGCAAAAGCGATATTAAGAAGCCTTTTCAAACATATTGCCCAGCCTCTTCACTTGACATGAAGGAGAAATCTGGTAGCTCCAGACCTCAGACATGTGGTAAATCTCCTAACTGAATTAACTAGAACAGAAGTAGCAGAAGACTGAAAATTTTGCCACGATTACTAGTGCAAGTCGAACTAAGATCTGAACTAAAATCTCATGAGTCATGATATTTTATTATATGAACCTAAAAAACTTAGATATATATATWTTTTTTATTTTAAAATGGTCTGAAAGTATCTACAACTACAATAACAAAAAAATGTCAAAAGTTGAAAATTCGCAGGGAGGAAACTCAATAAGATTATTGATGGAAAGTGGACAAACTAAAACTAGCATAAATATTGTAAAGTAAAAAATGAACATCATATTCGAACAAAATTTTCATCCCATGTCACCAGAATAAATTCTAATAATTGATACAACTTGCAATCTTTATTATTTTCGTGCATAATAGAGTGGGATAAGTTCATCATTGATGAAGAGGAGTAAAATTACAAATAATGATGTCGATGACACAGCAATTTTATTCATCCCCATTTTCAGACAGCAGTATACAATTGATGATTCAAATTTAAATAAAGAAGGATCAAGTTCCTTTAGTTTTATGTGGACATTTTTAATAGCTGATGTTCATCTGCCCATTCTCAGTGTCTGAGAAGTGAATTAATTTTATTTGCATGCTTTCGTTGAGATCGAGATGTTCATGAGTTCTTTGTTCCACATTACAGACTACTGTAGCGAGAGCCAGAGTTCTCCCATTCACTCATGGCGCGCACTAGAAAACTCGAAGTACATAGACCATGAAATATCAGTTACCRAACCTGGAACTGGCCCGACAGCTCCGATTCCCAGCAATCCGCCGACAGCCGATCGCGCGGAGGAGCTCTTCCATCTGAATGCGAATGGTACAAACATTCTGCATCAATTTTGCAACCATAAACTTACTTACATTAGTTTCATTTCATCTAATCAACCAATTTTTAAAGATCAATCGGTCATTTGCTAACATCAAACGCAGGGAGTTCAAGAACATGGATCTCGCCAGAGGAATCGCCGCCGAATGCCTGTGACGGCATGGAATCTTTGAGAAATTACAGAACAATGAATGAATGGAACCATGGAATTTTCGCTTTTAGCTGGTGGTGGCGGGTTCGAGAATCGAGGAAGGAAGCAGAGGAAGTCGTGGAAGATCTGGAAGAGAGAATATTGGTAGCATTGATTCAAGAGGTCTTCGCCTRAGCCTTTGCTCCTCTTCATCGTCTTCCACTTATTTTCAATTTTGAGATATTATATCAAATTGTATAATAAAATAGGTTTATACTTTTTTTCTTAATTTTCCTTTTAATTTTTTCATCAAGACCAAGACCCAAACTGACTACCTTCTAGTCGAATAAAAAATTTCCATCAATATTTGTTTATCGTTAGATTGTCGTATGGTTCGTCRTAAAAACTACAACCTATTTTGAATATCAATTTCAATACAATTCAATTATGAATTCACTCGATAAATATTTTTACCTCTTATTGTCGWAGAAATTTTGAAGGGTATGATAAAATTTTTTTTTTATACTCAACAATAAGTGGAGATAGAAATTCAAACMTCCAACTTTTTTATTGATAATATATGGAATGAGAATATATACTGAGAGGRAAAAAAAACATATATATGGCTTAATATAGAATTCACTCKAWTCTTTTTTCTTTTTTATCTAAACTTGTGACTACAATTTCCTTAACTATATATATAGCAAAAACATCAAACTATAGTTATATGTTTGGACTCCTACTCTCGTATTAATTAAATTTTATTATTGAAATTATAATTTATTTTTCACTTCAAGTTATTTTTACATCTATTCCAGCATAGGTATTAATATTAATAATTTATTTTTAAAAATATATATTGAATTTTTGAGACGCGGTTTAATAACAATTTCGTTTTTTGTTTTATATTTTAGAAAATTAAGTCTAGAAGTAAAAATATTGTTTTTGTTTTGTTATATAGTTTTTAAAAATCAAAATAAAAACTTAAAAAAAAGAAAAACAATAATAACTTTGGGTGGGTCTCTAAGATATTGAATAAGGATTTTTCACGATGCTCAGCTTGCGAGAGGATGTGATTTTATAGGTCCAATTGTCCAAATGGGGCATCACAGT